ACAACCTTGCTTACTTCGAATGACTTAACAGCTAAGGCTTACAGCTGCTAAAAATAGCATGACCTGCAATTGGCATTCAAAGAAGAAAAGGGGGAGGGGGGAAGGCAGAAAAAAAAAAGAATTAAAATAATATGAACAGGAAGAAGAAAAGATGTAGGAAAAAAAAAGAGTTAGAAAGAAAAAAAAAGAGGTGAAAAATGACTGTCCTTTTTGCCTTCACAAAAACATGATTAATACGCTTTTTGAATAAATTAGCGTTTCTATAATAGGGAAATTCACTGACCTTGCAAGTTCAACCATTCCTGTCATAAACCAACGGTCCCTCCTTAACGCAGGTACCCGTTAGATCAGTTCCAAAAATTTTTCTTCAAACCAACACTGTTTTTTTTTTTTTTTGTTTTTTGTTTTTTCAGTTACGCTACCCGTCGTTCAACAGGATGGTTTCTGTAAAAAAAAAAAACAGAAAGGAACCTAAACAAGAGCAAAAAAAGAAAATGATGGAAACAAGTAACGAAAAAAATGAATTACAACAACAGCAACAACAAAAACTATGATTAGGCTTCATGAATACGCCGTCCTCAACGTTTCACATACATCTGTGATATACCATATGAACGGCAACAACAAAAACGTCGTCAAAGGTAAGAACTGTAAACGGTGTATATTTGTTCATCGCCTAATTATGTGTATGTAATGTTCAAAGAAGTTTATGTTTATGGGTCAAGTTTAATTGATGATACTACAAAACTATCAGAAGGGGAGCACAATTATGACAACTGTAACAATACAACAACAAAACAACAACAACAAACAGCAGTAACGGCAATAGCAACCAAATGATACAATATTACAACTTTTTTCTTTATAAACTACAACCTTTATTTTTTTTTTAAAGAATATTTTTTTTTGTTTCTATTTTATTGCTTTAATATTTTATTCTCTTATTCTCACCCCTACCCCCACCCCCTCCCCCCCATCCTTCCCCTCCACTTCAATATCCAACACAAAACATGTGTGAAAAAAAAAAAACAAAAAAAAAGATAATAACTTTACTTTTCAAGAACTAAAAAAACATTGACAAATAGAAAAAAAAAACAAACTGTATATGAAACATAAAATCCATGGAACATTATTAACACAACCAACCAACCTAACCAACCTGACCAATCAGCCTAACCAACCGATCGACCAGTCAACCAAACAACCAAACACCCGCAACCAAACCAGCCAATATAGCTTTTTTTTTTT